GGCAGAGCTCCTTGGCGGATGTCTGTGTTTTTGATGGTCAAGGCTTCTTCAACTGTTTTCCCTTTCACCCACTCAGTGACTAACGAGCTGGATGCGATGGCAGAACCACAGCTAAATGTTTTAAACTGGGCGTCCACAATCTTCCCCTTGTCATCCACTTGGATCTGCAATTTCATTACATCACCACAAGCCGGAGCCCCCACCAATCCAGTTCCAACATTTTTAGATGTCTTGTCGAGGGATCCCAGTTTCTGGGATTTTCATAATGATCATCAACTTTCTTGTGATAGAGCCGAGCCGGGGCTGACAGCTCCCGGGCAGGTTGGCCTGAGCTCTGGAGCAACAGGGCAGACACCGCCCGCCGCAGACGGCCCACTCCAACCGCCGCCATCTTGCGGGCAAAAATACATTGTTCTTATTGTTAAGTGCTGTGGAGTCAGTTCTGACCCATAGCAACCCTGTATAGGGTTTCCTAGGAGCAGCTGGTGAGCTTGAACCACCAAATATGCCATTGAAACCAACTTTGCAGTCCAGCGCATTAGCCCACAGTATCACACCAAGATTCCAAAAGCACATAGATACCTTCATACATACCCCTATGTATGTAAAACCAGTTGCTGTCTAGTTGGCTCCCAACTTATTGAAGACCCATGTGTGTTGGAGAACTGTGTCCCAGGGCTTTCAGTGGCTGATTTTTTGGAAGTAGAACATCAGGCCTTTTTTTCCAAGGTACCCCTGGGTTGGCTGCTGAGCATGTTAACTGTTTACACGACCCAGGGTCTCCTTCTATATGTATACACATGAATATATAGGCAGCCCCAGGTTATGAACATGTCGAATTTGTGTGTAAGTCGGAACAGCTAGGTTCAGTTTAGATCTAATGTTAGTTAGTCAAATGCTTGCCTTAGTCTATAGTGTACCTTTCTATACATAAAAAACATTAACAAAACACTTCTAGATATGCTAAAGCATTTAAACGTAATTTTTTTGTTGTTAAGTACCATCGAGTTGGTTCGACTCATAGCAATCCTCTATCGGGTTTCTGAGGAGTGGCTGGTGGGTTTGAACCACCAACCTTTTGGTTAGCAGTCCAGTGCTTACCCTACAGTGCCAAAGCAGGACTCCTTTAACATAATAATGCAATAATAATGTTTTGGCACATGTTGCCAAGTAGCACCCATTTATCATTATAAACCATTTTAAAAGTTTGTGGAAAAATGAAATAGAAACATAATGAAATGTTTCCACAAAATTTTTGAAGCCCCCTCATATACACCTCAAATTTTTAATACAGTAGACTTTACAGGGGGTTGGTTCAGAACTATGGGTTGTATGTAAGTCACATGTTTGTAATCCAGGGACTGCCTATATCTATATGTACACATTCATGTGCATATTTATATACATGTATGTTATTGTTGTTGTAAAGTGTCATCGAGTTGGTTCCAAATCATAGCAACCCTGTGTAGGGTTTCCTAGGATCACTAGGTGGGTTTGAACTGCCCATCTTGTGGTTCGCAGTCCGGCGCTAACCCTACAGCACCACGCTAGGAATCCATGTATAGATTTGTAAAACTACCATCACAGTCACAGCTTACACATTTGACAAAGTGAGGCGACTGAGACTGTGTGGCTTTAAAATCCAAGTCTCTTTATCCTCTGCTCAGTATTTTGGCCATTATTCCAAATCAACTTCCTTCCCGACAAATTATCTCTGGTCCATTCAAACTGGCCTTCCATTCCATGTGCTTATCTTCTCCTGGCACCTTGGCTTACGAGCAAGCCTTCTGCCTAAAATGCCCTCTAGTCTTGGGAAAAAGCAGGTTTATCTAAGCTCTCCCCTTTCTATGAGTTCTGTCTCCCTGAAATTTTTCCTCTTGCCCTTGATTATCAGTTCCTCTTATAACAATGCGTGTTCTCTTGCATTATAATGATTATAATGTATCCTTTAGTACACTTACGTTCCTTTTCATATATGCACTTGGCCCTTGAACAACATGGGTTTGAACTATGTAGGTCCACTTTTACATGGATTGTTTTCTTGTTGCATGGTGGTGAGCTGAAATGTTGGAAGTAGCCACTGAACCCTCCATGTGATGATACTTATCTCTATAAGCAGTTAGTCCCTCCAGTAACTGCTGGCTAGCCCTCACCCTTCTACTCCCCCCAGCTAGAGCAATGAACTGCTCACAAGGAGATGGTTAGCATCACCCAGCGATTTTAGTGGATACTTGTGACATGAGCTCACTACAAAAGCTACAGGAAAACAATCCATGTGTCATTGGGCCTGCTCAGTCCAAAGCCTGATATTTGAGAGTCAGCTGTAAAGTATGTGCATATTTTCTGAATGGGAGGTCAGTGCCCCTTAACCCTTGCTTGCGTTGTAATCATTCAAGGGTCAACTGTAATGCAAAGTGCATCATGATCTTTTTTTTTTTTTTTCATTTGTTATTTATTTATTTTTCTTAAATGTTTTATTGTGAATTATGTGATAGTTTACATGGGAGAACATTGGTTTTACATTCATTCTATCGTATATCGTCTCATTGCCATGGTTACAATCCCTTCCATGCAATCCTTCCCCCGTGCCCCCCAGGTCTTCAGCACACAGTCGCTCTCCCTCTCTGGATCTAAAGTCTTCAGCTGCTCCATCGCTCCACGTCATCATCTCTGGCTCCATTTCAGGCATCACTGCTTGGGAATCATGATCTTTTACTTATTTAATTTCATTTTCATCCAGTGGAAATTGGTACTATTGACAGTTTATGTCTCTTTTGGGAATCTTCTAGCTGTTTCTTTCATCCCTCTGACTGTGACATTGTTTCCTCGTTCTTCTGTTACTGTTACCGTTGTAGAGGCTCATAGTAGATGTTTCCTTCTCTTAACTTCACCAAGGTTGTGATGGGTAAAAAGTCATCAATAGTACGCATAGTCTCTTTGCGCACTACCAGCCATATTGGGATGGTAGTGTCTGAACACTTTTTCTCTACTTTGGCAAATCCCCATTTCATCCTTCTACTTCCTGACTTCCATTATGAAGCTTGAAATCACCAGCTCATCAGGTTCCCCATGCTGTGCAGCTGGGCTTTGCCTTTGAATTGGAAGCTAAAGATTTTTTTTCTAGATGTGGGTTGCAACAGTGACATCCATTTCCCAAGGGTGACATTCAGTCGAATGTGGCTTCTCTTGTCTTTGCAGCACCAGGCCGCGTCATGGCATGCTGTTGACAGAGGATCTTAAGACCTGGTCCCACCCTCCCCGTGAATCCTCAATGCACTTCTTTCTATTCTATGCAAAACTAGCCCAAATTGGTCTGTTTCTCGCAACTTAAGAACCAAACCTGGTATGGTTTCAGAGCTCTGTAGTTGTTCTTGTCTTGATTCTGTTCCAAGGTGTCTAATTTTGGGCAAATCACTTAAATACTCAGGTTCTTCATTTCTAAAATGAGGGTGTTAAAGGATCTTCAAGATGTTTTCAACTCCAAAGTTCTATAATTTTTGTTGCTGCAAATGGGCCAGTGGATACTAATGTGACCCTTATTGCTCCCAATGCTAGAATTCTTCTGTGCTCGCAATCCTGGGTTCTTGTGCCTGCATTTAACCCTATTGGCTAGCTAATGTTTATGGGCACTGTGCACTGCAAATCCTCACCTGCATCTTGGCAGGTGTAAAAATGTTCTTTGTTCTCTGTTTAGTGATCTGATTGCAGGGGAAAAAGTGCTTTAGGCACCAGTAGGTTTTGAGGTTTCTGTGGTAATGTTGATTCAGGCGAGAGCTCCTTAGTAGAGAGTTGAGACTCAAAGCCATAAATTGTAAAAATTACATTTTAATGCAGTACTGTTGGCTGGGAGAGTTGAGATTTAAAGAGACCAACCTTTTTATAGTTTTTACATATGCACAGTGGAACAACTAATGTGAAATAGTTTTTTCAGGAAAGCCAACAATAAACACGTTCTAAGTGCCCCGCTCATTGTAGGGCTATAGTCAAATACTCTGCAATTGTCTAAAAACAGCAGGGAGGAGGGGAAAAGGAGTTTGGACATTATCCACATTCAAACCCAGCTTCAAATGTAAAAAAATATCTTTGTGGCTTCCTGACCCCCAATCTGTGTCCTTTCCAAATATCACATGGAATAAAATGAGATCAATATTAATTTTGCCTTTGATCTAACCTTAGAAAACATGGAGGGTTTTTTTTGTGTGTGGTTTGTCTCATGACCACAACAAACATTGGTAATGTTTGTTTTGCTTTGGGCATAGTGGTCACAGAAGCAGAAATGGACCCTGGGCTGCTGGTGAAGACAACAGATACTTTTCAGAGAGCTTCTCTTACTGCATCTTTTAGGGAGTTCATAACCAGCCAGTCAAATTCAGGTTCAACAAACATTTAGTGAATGACAGATTTGTCATTCTGTCAATGACATATCTGTCAATGGTGAGTTTTTAATTGAGTGCCTACACGGTGCTAGTTGCTTTGGATTTAGGATAAGATAGTAGTCCTATAGTGGTGTTCAGATTTAGGTGGGGAAAGGTAAAAAAAAAAAAAAAAAAAAGAAAGAAATTTAGCACATGTGAAACAATTCTAAAATAGTTACTGGTCCAGCTGTGGATGATACTATCCGTGTGGTAGGAGTTTAGATAGAAAGGTTAGTGTTGGCTACAGGACCTGGAGAACACTATGTGGTAGAGGTGGGCCTTGAGAGATGTGTTTATACTATTGTGAGAGGTTGGCAGGACAGAGCAGTGGGGATTATTCAGGGGAAGTGGCAGTTCCTGAACCAGGAACATAGGATGAGTGTGGCATACATATGCCAGAGGGAGGAGAAGGCAATTGGACTGGGGGTTGAGGACAAGGAGCCATATAGAGGAAGTGGAGAGTTAGGTTGGTTCTAGATTACAGGTCGAAGAGTTTGTACTCAAAATAAGCCATAATAAGTATAATAAATGTTGTTTTTTGCTTTGTGTATCATCTTCCATTCTCCTGAATTCTTTTCCCCTCAGATTCCCTGGAGCCCACTTACCAGCAGCTTCAGAAAATGAAACTGGACAAGAGTCCCTTCGTGGTTGTATCTGTGGTTGGACAGGAACTCTTGACGTCCGGCCATCATGGAGCCTCTGTGGTTGTCTTAGAAGCTGCTCTGAAGATTGGCACCTGCAGCCTCAAACTGAGAGGTTCCGTTTTCTCTGCCCTGAGCAGTGCTTACTGGTCTCTCGGGAACACAGAGAAGAGCACTGGATACATGCAGCAGGACTTGGACGTAGCCAAGACCTTAGGTAGAGATACGTTTATTTCTTTTGTCTGATGCAGAAAGGAAGCTAACAGAGCCTGACACAACTGGGGATACCATATGCAATGGAAATTGTGTGTGTTTCTAGGACAGTCTCTATTTTAGAGTATTTGGAACAAAAGGATTTTAATTTAACAAAGTACAAGGGTCTGAAAAGCTGAGATGTATATTAGCATACTTATTGGCCTCCTCAGAGATTTGGATTCAACTGATTTAATATCCCCAAAATGTCAGTTGAATCTTTCATCTTAGTTTTCCTTTTTTACCTCCATTAGCTGCAGTCCTCCCTATTTTGTTGGAGGAGACAGTATCGCACAGTGGTTAAGAGCAGGAACTATGGAGTCAGACTGCTCGGTTTAGAATCCTGACTTCCGCTTACTGGCTGTGTGACCTTGGGACAAGTTACCGAAACTCTGTGTGCCTCAGTTTCCTTTTTTGCCTATGATTATGATTGTCATTTATGGAGATTATGCAAGGGACATGTAGGAATGCAGCCAGAGAAAGGAGATAGTCTGTATACATCAGTGTACTTATAAAGAAGGCAACGTACTATATAATAGGTTTGGAGTCTAATGGCTGAATCACCCAGCTGATGGTTGTTCAGCATGAAGGATCATTTAGCAGAGCAATGGGGAGGTTCACATAGCAGTTGGTTGGTGTCAAGGTGTTTCATCTTTCATTTCCAGGACACCTAAAGCCCTGATCATAATAGGGTGTTTTAACAACAGAAACAGTTCTTCCCTGGAGATTTGAATTCTAGGACCGTAGTTCCCAGATAGGGTCTTGTGGAGATTTGAATTCTAGGATCATAGTTCCCAGATAGGGTCTT